GCTTCAGGACTAGCCTGCGTCAACACCTAAACTAAGGACAGGTAGTAAAGTAGTCGAACGCGTCGACAACTTCGCTTATCTTGTAAGTCTGATCAGCCCTAATGGGTTGGTGTCTGACGAAATCTCTGCAAGGATTAAGTAAGCTCGTTTGGTTTTTTTTCCAACTTACGTCACTTATAGCGAAGGCGAGATATCTGTCTATCGATTAAGGGATGAGTATATTGTGCGGTAGTTTGTTCTGTTCTACTTTACGGCTGCGAAACGTGGCCATTAAGAGTAGAAGATACTCGTAAGTTACTATTATTTGATCAAAGATTGCTCGCATCTGCTGGGATTGTCGAGTAAGTAATAGTGAGGTTAAACACGGGGTATTAGGGAATGACGGTTAATCAGTTGATGAGGTTGTAAATCTTCATCGACTGAGATGGTTGGACCACGTGTTGCTTATGCCTGAACACTGATTGCCACGACGCGCAATACTGACTAGTGTTGGAGACGGTTGGAAGAAAGTTACTGGTGGTCAAACCAAAACGTGGCATCAGTGCTTGAAGTCACTAACTTTTGGTCTGAGTCATGTTGGTAGATGCAGACTACTTGGTTGGGTTCCACGTGACTATCGTAACCAATAGTTGGAGACTCGGGGTGACAGCTCAGAATCGTTCACAATGGCGTCGGTGTATACACTCTTTGTCTTCCCTTAAACCGTGAGATTCAAATTGCTTTATATCTTTCTTTCTACTAACTAATTTTTTCTTCCTGTACTATATCCTTATACACAATCTTTTTTATACATTACTACCAATGAAGTAACTGGTTCTACAAATTCGGTGTTCATCTTCATGTGCTAATGAGGTCTGTCAACTTGGACCAATGCATATATGGGCCTGGTCCTACGTTGTAGATGTCTGACTGTCAGTTTTCTCAAGGTCTTCATTCTTAAACATATTTTTTGCTTAGTCATTATCATTGTATGACCTATGATCATATACTTTCCTCGTACATGTGCCGTATACTCACATAAACTGTGTTTTAATGCAGCCTATGCGGCATTTTCGCTCATTTTTTAGAACATGGATTCTTTGTCTTGGATACATGTAGTCGAGACTGAAAAATACCGTAATGTTTTTGTAGCCGTTACAAAATTTAGTAAGCCTCGATCACTTGAGTCTAACGCAACTTCCTACATAAGTGAACAGCGCACTCAACTACTATGCTTAGTATGTTTTAGTAAGACAGCGACTCAAACCATTTCTGAATTAATGTTTTATGTTTATAGGAGAGAAATGGGTCTCATACAGTATTGCATTCTTACTCAGGAGATTTAAAGGACTTCATTTCCTCTGAGTTCTTAGCAAATTGAACTGCCATCGGGTACTTTAAGTCGATAACTAAATCTAATATATCAAGTAGAATAAAACATGAGCGAACAATAGTGTTATGTTAGGTCGTCACGAGACTTTACTCCAATATACATGGATATTCATATGAAAATTATTTATTTTAATATAAATATAAATCAATCAAGGCAATTTACAAGCCAATGATCACAATGAAATAGATTGCATGACTTCAAATAACGTAAACAGTAGAATTGGATACTATGAAGACAGGTGTACTAGTAGTAGTGATAAGGAGATCGGTTTTATAGTGACGAACGAAGTCTGCTATTTCTAGAAGCATCTGTGTAATCAGATTAAATAGGTGATCGGCCTCGACCTACAGTACTTATTTAATAAGCTTCCTAAATTCCAACCTAAATGACAGTCGGCAGAGTTGAATTTAACTGTAGCCAGACATCTACAAATGTTTCTCTTTTCAAAATCATAAAGGGAATTATGTGTATGAAATATTTTTACGTTCATCTCTTCAAGTTATTTATAGCTTTTTACTGTTGAGGTTTAATTCTGGTTTCTCATTCAGACTATTTATGAGTATTAGACAACTGAAAAGTATTTGAGCTATAGTTGAGTTAGTCTGTCCGCTATTCTAAACAGTCAAGACTATCGTTTTCGCAGATTATTTCGTAAACACCGAACTTTTAACTTGTCTCTTTTGTTTTGCCTGTCACGTCTGCGGGGTTACTTAAATGACTTTTGCTTGGTACTGAAACCCCGAATCCAATGACGTGTACTAAAAAGCAATGACTAGTGAAAGAATTTATTTGATGCCGGTAATAAGTCAAAATGATATATACATACACTACTTTCGTATAACTTATGTGTTGTCAGATTAACAATCAGATCTGTATAATTTGACTTAGTGTTATTTAACATTGGTTAATCAATAACTTATTATAAACACACGTTTTGAATATCACATATTAATCTTCATTCTGACTTTGTTTTACCTTTTTAATCCTGCCATATCTTAGGTTTGTTGCACCAGTTATCCGACCCTATCACGACTGTCCTTTACATATTCACTTTTGCTGCTCTCCATTAATCCCGATCATTGCGCAGACTTTCGTTAATTTTTATATAAGTTCTCTAATCGTCGTCCCAAATGAGTGTCTGAAAATCACTTAATCCAATTGTGGCTTCCGAAATCAATTGGTCTTAAGCCTTAGTAACAAATGCTCTCAGTTGTATTTTTGATGACTCCAAATCATGACAGCCCACTCCAGGAATAGCATCCAATAGATAGTTTTATCATTGAGCTTCACATAACCGAAGCGAGCTTGACGAGGTCCTTTCGTAGCATTTTTTTCCCGCTTTCAGTTACTTATAAAGGCATACTCGTCCTAAAGTGTTGTCGGAGTCTACTGATGTACCTCATAAGGATCAGCAATCTACTATCAATCTTCACCAACGGCACCCGTCGCTATAATGATGCTGGGCGTCACTGGGTTCGAGAGTGTCTATCCGTATATTTCAGCTTCCTAACCACCATTGCAACAGATAACGTTACCTTTTCGCTTGATTGGTATGGTAATTGCCCCATCTAAGTATCTTTCAGCTTAACTTAGCCCACTTTTCTTGAGGCTAGGATTACCAACTACATATCAGAAGTCTACTGATAGAATTTCTTTTGCTTCTGAGCTGCAGTCAGTGTATGTGTAAGCAGAAACGACGAAGAGCCAATGAGATGTATTGATTTTTTCCTGAGTTCTTTTATTCGAACATTACTCAAGTGATTGTCAGTAGAAGTCTAATCATACCGTGCCTTCGAGCTTATTCATATACTTGCACACGTAAGACCACGAGGTGCTTCTGCAGTCTTCAGATATGCAAATGTTGAATCATATTGATTCTAAATATGGTCAAACGAATGATCATACTAAGTTCCTGTGTAATTATTTCACATACATTGCAAACGTCGATGAGATGAGACAGAGGTACTATATGAACATCGAAATCTTCAACATGTGGTGTGGGGCTCAGTCGCACAAGATCGGGGGTAACATTCAGTCAGATCTGATTGTTGGAACTAATGTGAGAAAAGATAGAGTTGATACTGGAAGTTGGGCGAATATTAGAAAGCTGTAAAACAATCTGAAGACCGATAATTAAAAAAAATTATTACATCACTCTCTTGTCTAAATTAGACTAGTTAAGAAGTCTCCATCTTCCCCATTTGACCCAAAGTTAGAGACGTTATTCTCGAAATCCTGGGATTATTGATATAGTAAACGTTCCTATATCTCATGAACTTCAGTTACTTTCATGTTTTTTTTTCAGTATGTTCGGATGAAGTTTCCTCGAACTTTAAGCTCGACGCAGAACGAATCAACTCTTTGGGACAACACTGTAAGCTATTTCATTGAATAATGTTATGTTAGTACATAATTTAAGGTGTCATAAAATAAACACAAAAGATACAATCTGATGGATCGTATTATAGCTGTTGATTTGCAAGTCTGAAAATGCATCTTAGTGATCTGTTTTCATTCATTTTTTAATTGTGTTACATCGTTCTCTGGAGTTTTTAGTTTTATGTTTCATAGTAGTTGACAATAGTTAATTAGACTCATTTGCAGACCTTTCTGTTGTTTAATTTCAACCATCCAGCATCAGGATACTATTTATTATAGTCTCAAACCATTTAGCCCACTGCGTTGTTTCTGTCTGTGACAAATAAAATCAATTTAATTTCTCAAGTATTTTATTTACCATCTTTGGCTGGTTTTATACAGATATACATTGAGTTTAGGTTCATTGCTAAATTATATAAACAATACCCAAAGCTTCAGTCTCGCCTAAATATAAACATATGTGGTTGTAGTGAATGTAGTTTCATTAATATCGTGGTCAGGATGGAACTGGAATACTTGGAAGTAAGACTAACACTAATCTGTCACGTTGAGCCAGCCCCACAGCTAAATTTTCACATCCCCGCACAATTTATCAACAATAATTGACTTCTGAAATCCCTTTACATATATCACCATAAAACTAGAGATGCACCATTTGGAATCCTCTTGTGAACTAATCATTTACATTTATATCAACGGTCGCCTAAAGGGTTTGTGTCTGCTCATATATCTAGATATTTTTGGGGATGGGTTTTGGTAGCTGAGTGGTTAAGGTGCTCGACTTCTAACTATTAAGTCCGATGTATGGACCTCACCCTAATTACTGCAGTTTGAGCGATCGGGTAGTTTCACTAACCCTCACACTTAGAGTGTAGCCCATGCTCAATTACCTGCTGAATTTTTTACTCAATCTATATATTTTAGGACCCCATTATGTGCGTCATATGTTTTCACAGATGATGTTCAGCTTGTTTCGAAAAGGTGTTTGAGTATTTCGTCTATCGACTTTATTTAACGAAGTAGTAAGGGCTAAGTATACCAACAGTCAAATAGAAAAGTCATACCAATAAGTACCTTATTACAATCATTTTGGGTTCTCTTTGGCAGATAAGTTGCGGCTCATCCAAAGTGCTGTGGTAGATTATTGCTATTTTTGGGATAAATTACCAAGTTAATATTTATAATCCATGTACTGATGGTGGCTACATATATAGGATGATATCTTGTTTGCTCTCATTCTTTCTACCAGAATCAGTGTCACGCAAATGCTTGGCTTGGCGTTACAGCTGCAGGTCTTCAACTGTATGGAAAGTGTCAACGTGATCCACCTCAATTTACATTTCCTTGGAATATGATAAAAAATGTTTCATATCGCGAACGCAAAGTGAGCTGTTTTTTTTTACTTAATTGTGTCGCCCAATCAACTTCACAACATTTCCACTATATTCTGCTCTATAGAATTCCGTTCTTTGTAGGTCATTCACATCTTACTCGTAATTACTGAAAAAACAACAACCATTTTTAACCTCACAATATGCTATAAATAGTATATTTTAATTTGGTTGTCAGGCATTTATCCCAATAATCTTGCCATGTTATCTAGAAAACTCAGTAAGATGTTTTTTGGATCTAAATAGTGTTATTTATAGCTTAGACTCACTAAATGATTGGTGGCTGTCATGAACCTACTTTCGTACATTTTCATTTCCGAGTACCTCATAAATCAAATAGCTTAAAATTTCAGAATTAATGGCTGCTTTTCATACTTGCATCCGTTTTTGGCGAAAATTTCCACGGATTAAATATAACCTATTCCAATTTACCATTATTATAGTACATTTCCTACCATTCAATCAGATTTGTTACTGTTTGTATCATCTCATTCTGCCAAATATTGAGCATTTCGTTATCGGACACATTTATCTTTTATTTTGCAAACGGATCGCTAGCTCTGAAGTGAAGTGATTACTGTGGTTTAAAAATGATGCTTTCAAGCAACAGGTTTCCAAAACCACCCCACCTCATCTGTTTGGGGGACTATGTAATCTCATTAGCCCTCACACACATAAAATATAAAATTCAATTAAACAAAAACCGGTCGACAAATCCGAAATATTTTATGATAATCTGTTGTTTCGATTCATTTCATAGCTTTTGTATTATGGTTTCCCATTGGTTGACTATTCATCTTAAAAACTAAGTGCGAGTAAAACCTATTTTTCCTCAAACTTTTACATCTATAGATTGTACAAAACAACTTGTACATTACTTAATTACTTACACCTGTGACTCCTAATGGAACATAGGCCGCCGACCAGCACTCTCCAACTCACTCTGTCCTGGGCCTTCTTTTCTAGTTCCATCCAATTCTTGTTCATTTTTCTCATGTCTATCTCCATTTCCCGGCGTAATGTGTATTTGGTCTTCCTCTCCTCCTTCGACCTTGAGGATTCCATGTGAGGGCTTGTCTTATGGCGCAGTTCGGTGCTTTCCTCAATGTGTGTCCTATCCACTTCCAGCGCTTCTTCCTGATTTCTTCCTCCACTGGGATCTGATTTGTTCTCTGGCACAGTAGGTTGTTGCTAACAGTGTCCGGCCAACGGATCTGAAGTATTTTGCGTGGACAACTGTTAATAAACACCTGTATCTTCTGGATGATGGCTTTCGTAGTTTTCCAGGTTTCGGCTCCATACAGTAGAACTGTCTTAACATTTGTATTGAAAATTCTAACTTTGGTGTTGGTTGACAATTGCTTTGAGTTCTAAATTGTGACGACGGACCACGGGTGAACTCGAGGAAGCTATAAGAAGCTCAGAAGGAGCCGAAGATATTCCATCCAATCACCGTTAGGAAGGATATTCTAGAATCCCTACGTGTAGCTTCTCGATTGGACAAGGCTAATAACCCCCTGTATGCGGATTTGAGGACTATAATGATGATTTTTATTCCTACTAAAACTATAAATACCTGACAATTTGTACCCATAATTGACACTGTTTGGAATAACATTCCTTTCACTAGTCTTCTGTCTTCTCTTTGCGACTTGGAAGGGTTTGGGCGTTCGTGTGTTCAGTTGTACGCGTTATATCAAGTAAATCAACCATTTCTAGATATAACAACTGGCGACGGGGTTATCATATCAAGATGTCATTTACCTTCGAACAACTTGAAGCCTTATTGGAACGTCAAGAAAAACGTTTCGAACAGTTCCAGATGCGCATGATAGAAACGCTAACCCAGAAAATGAACCTGAATCAAAAAGAAGTTGCAGATGATCCCTTCAAATCTCATGTTGACCACATCATCGATTCTATCCATGAATTTAACTTCGATGCTTCAGCTGGTATTACTTTTGAAACCTGGTTCAACAAATATGAAGATTTGTTCAAGGTCGACCTCAAAAATCTTGATGACGCCGCTAAGGTCAGAATACTCTTACGAAAACTTGGAACTGCTGAACATGAACTTTACAGTAACTTTATCCTTCCAAAGAATCCAAGAGATTTTTCTTTTGATGCAACGATCGAAACTTTGTCGCAAATAGTCGCTGAACAGTCATCTTTGTTTAATATTCGTTATCAATGTCTTAAGATAACAAAAGCAGTTGACGATGACTGGGTGAAGCATGCGGGCTTAGTAAACCGTGAATGTGAGCGCTTCAAACTATCTGCACTGACAGAAGATCAGTTTAAGTGTCTAGTGTTCGTGTGCAGCCTCCAATCTCCTGAGGATGCCGATATTAGAACCAGAATTTTGAGTAAAATTGAACAATGTCCAAACATAACACTACAAGAAATAACCACAGAATGCCAGAGATTGGTAAACTTAAAACACGACACTTCCATGGTCGAAAACAATGGCCAGTTGCCATACGTTCATGCTGTAAGTGGAAAGAAAGATACCGGCTCAAGAAAATCATCACACACAGACAATCAGCCCTCATCTACATGTTGGTCGTGTGGAGGTTGGCACTATAAAAGGTTCTGCCCATATAGAGAACATTACTGCAGTAAATGTCACCGAAAGGGCCATAAAGAAAACAGATGCAGAAAAATAACCCATAAACGACATTCTTCGAAGCCCTATCTCAAGAAATACAGACATAATGCACTAACTAACAAAGTATTGGTATCACATAATCGAGGACGAATTTGCCGCCGACGAAAGTATGTGAACGTAGATATAAATAAAAAACGTGCCCGCCTGCAGCTCGATACTGCTTCCGACATCACACTTATCAGTCGAAGAACCTGGAAACTTATCGGAAAACCACAGGTGCTACCGACAACCCAGTTAGCTCATAGCGCTTCTGGAGGAAAGTTGAACATTTTTGGAGAGGTTTGTTGCACAGTTTCAAAAGGAAACGCGAAGACAAAGACAACACTATATCTCACAGAGAACCCAGGACTAGATTTGCTGGGTCTAGACCTATTAGAAACACTACAATTAACAAATAACTCCATTAACCACATATGCAGCGCTGTGAGAACCAGTAAACCAGTTGAGAAGGATCTGAAGAATGTTGTGTTAGAAAGACAGTCAAGTGTTTACAGAAGAATTGGGGAAGTGCAAAAGGGCAAAAGCAGTACTGATCCTTAAACCGGGAGTTACCCCAGTCTTCAGACCAAAACGTCCTGTACCTTATGCAACGTTACCTATTGTTGAGCAAGAAACAGAGCGTCTGCAAAGTAGTGGAATAATAGAACCAGTGAACTTTTCCGATTGGGCAGCAGAACCACAACCATGGCCAAAACCGGACGGGCCTTGGCAAAGAATACACGCCGATTTTGCCGGACTAATACAAGGCAGAAATTACTTAGTTGTTGTCGACGCTTTTACAAAATGGCCAGAAGTATATGATATGCCGAAAACGACATCAGACAGTACAATAAGAAGATTGTCAGGATTGCTTGCTTGTTTTGGGTTTCCAGAGATTTTAGTGACCGATAACGGCACTCAGTTTATGTCATCAGCTTTCAAACGCTTTTGCAGTGAAAATGGCATATCGCATCTACAATCTCCTCCGTACCATCCTCAGTCGAATGGCCAAGCAGAAAGATTCGTGGATACGATAAAAAGAGCTCTGGTAAAGGGGGGAGGTGAGGGTATCCCAGAACAAGTGATCAGTAAGTTCCTAATGTCTTACAGAGTTACCCCCAATCCGTCAGTAACAGAATGAAAGTCACCAGTCGAGTGTATGTTCGGAAGAAAAATTCGCACAGTCTTCAACAGTATGTTGCCACCTAGAAAGACAATAAAACCGATGAATGAGTATCGTACTATCACTCGTAGCTTCCAGGTGGGTGAAAGGGTACTTGTCAAAGCCTATCAAGGTAATAAGAGATGGGAACCAGGTGTCATAGAACGTCGAATCGGAAATGTACTGTACCTAGTCCGGAAGGGTGTCGGAAAATGCATAAGACACATAAATCAAATGCAAAGAGACAGCAGTACAGTGGTCCCAAGAAGCCGGCTCCCATTTCAATTGCTCGTGGATTCACCTCAGAAAAGCCATCATGATCGCAAACATAGAGGAGGCAAACGACGCAAGGTAAAAGTTGTACAACCCTCGAGAGTGATGGACCGTAAGAGGAATGCGGCCACAAAGTTCCAGGTGGATCCGAGAAAGAAATCTTACACAACAGACTTTAAAGGAGGGAGGTGTGACGACGGACCACGGGTGAACTCGAGGAAGCTATAAGAAGCTCAGAAGGAGCCAAAGATATTCCATCCAATCACCGTTAGGAAGGATATTCTAGAATCCCTACGTGTAGCTTCCCGATTGGACAAGGCTAATAACCCCCTGTATGCGGATTTGAGGACTATAATGATGATTTTTATTCCTACTAAAACTATAAATACCTGACAATTTGTACCCATAATTGACACTGTTTGGAATAACATTCCTTTCACTAGTCTTCTGTCTTCTCTTTGCGACTTGGAAGGGTTTGGGCGTTCGTGTGTTCAGTTGTACGCGTTATATCAAGTAAATCAACCATTTCTAGATATAACATAAATGTTCTTCAGTTGTAAATATGCTGCTCTTGCTTTGCCGATCCATGCCTTCACATCTGCATCAGATCCACCGTGTTCATCGATGATGCTGCCCAAATATGTAAAGGTTTGTACATCTTCCAGATCTTCTCCGTCAATTGTGATTGGATTGGTGCATGCTGTGTTGTACGGAGAATCTTGCTTTTCCTTTTGTGTATGTTGAGACCTATTGCTGCTGAGGCTGCTGCTACACTGGTCGTCTTCTCCTGCGTTTGCGATAGAAGAGCCAGATCATCTGCGAAGTCTAGATCATCCAACTGCATCCTAGATGTCCACTGTATCCCGTGCTTCCCTTCAGATGTTGACGTCTTCATGATCCAGTCGATCACC